CTGCCGCTTGAACAGATTGTTCTCTCTGTCCAAAACTTGGTCATTTGTCTGACGAAGGTGACAGTGTACATATCGTACTAGTCATCAAATGTAATTTGCATTACAGAGACGGTCACTGAAGGAAAAGATGAAAAGTAAAACCAACAACAAATGATTATTGGACATACTTTCCAGGATTCAAGTCTATACTGGTTCTATCTTAAATGTGTAAAATGTTAAGTCACCCGCAATTCCCTTTATTCATTTTATAATACAATTCGGAACATATTCGTGCTGTGATGTGATATTGGGGATTTTTTTTTCTAAACCCTCTCTCTACTACTCGAGAAAAAAGCGCTACAGACGACCAGAATAGATTATTTAAATGCAACTCATGTATGCATATGGTTGCATTAACAGCGAAGGAGCTGTTATTGCTGTCAGGAACAATATGACTGCTGTGAATATTTACTGTTAATTTAAAATTTACTCATCTAGTATGCATAACAGAGACGGTCACTAAAGGAGAAGATGAAAAGTAAAACCAACAACAAATGATTACTAGACATATCTGGGCCGTGCTGTGATATTGGGGTTTCTCATTTCGGCTTGTTGACGCTCTTGTTATTACTTCTAGTTTCACTTTGTATTGTTATAAGGTACGAAAAACAGATATTTCGTTTTATAGTACGCAAGCTCTTTTATTTGACACATCAAGCATTTCTATTTGTAAATCGATTTATTTTAGATTGTTATGGACATTCTATTCAAATTCAGCTCAATATCTTCCTATCGTTATGCTGAAATCCACTCCTTCTCAAAAGTTATTACACTCTATCATAAACAAAAACTGCATAATCAATGCTTGTTTATTATGAGAAAGTTTTTTTTAGCTCACCTGCCAAAAGTCCGTCGTCGTCCGTCAACTTTTCGTTTAAACGACTCTTTCTGAAGAACGCACAGGCATAAAGCCATGCTATTTTACTTAAAGCTTCGTTGGTAGGAGCCCGACTAAGTTTGACAACGAAAATGAACTTTACCTACTTTCAAAGTCAAAGAGGTCAAATGTGTCAAACAACTTCTTCTGAAGAACTGAAAGGTATGGAATCTTCATATTTAGCTGATGGCTTCCTGGGATGGAACCCAACAAAGTTTGAGAATGAAAATGACCTTGACCTACTTTCAATGTCACAGTGGTCAAATATGTCAAACGCTTCAAATGACTTCCCTTTGAAGAACTAAAAGGTATAGAATCTTCATATTTGGCTGGTGGCTTCCTGAGATAGAGCCCGACAAAGTTTGAGAATGAAAATGATATCGACCTACTTTCAAGGTCACAGGTGTCAAATATGTCAAAAACATCACACGACTTCTTCTGAATATTCGAAAGGCATACAATTATAATATTATGCTGGTGGCTTCCTGGTATAGAGCTCACCAAAGTTTATAAATGAAAATGACCTCAACATACTTTAAAGGTCACAGAGGTCAACAACATTTCAAAGGATTTCTTCTGAAGAACCAAAAGGAATGGTTTCATAAGATTTGGCTGGTAGCTTTTTTATGATAGAGCTAACAAAGTTTGAGAAGGAAAATTACATTGACCTACTTACAAGGTCACAGGATAAATTACGTCAAAGAACTTCTGAAGAAGAACCAAAAAGCATAGAATCTTATAATAATATTTGGCAGGTAGTTTCAACAGATGGAGCCGACAAAATTTGCGAGGGAAATATTTGTAGTGCAATATAATATTTAATGAGAATACTTTGCTATGACTGCTTGAATATTTAGGTGAGCGATAAAGGCCCTCTGGGCCTCTTGTTTACATTTAAATAAGTTCATCCCTGTGTTTGGTCACAGGAGGGACAGTATATTTTCGATATATATATTTATTGAAATGGATATTTATTTCAGTGTTATTGTATATGTTTCCTTATTTCATTTTTCTTATTTTATTTCATTTTGTACGACTATGAGCTGCTTATTATAATTATTATTATATTTGCAATACATCGCAATTTAAATGTCACTTAAGTATGCATGATATAGGTTCTCTTATCCAAATGGAGGCTTTAAGATATAATTTTACCAAGAAAAATGTTATGGTTTTAAAATTGAAGACACATTTGTCCCTTCTCAAACTTATTTCGCTCGAGGGTTCATATGTTCTAACTACCCTAGTTCCTTGTGGAAGAACTTAAAATATTTGAAGAACTTCATCTTGTTGTAATGCATTTTGACGTTTCATGTGAATCAACGAAAGCGAGCCTACCATAGTTATTTTTCTGCGTATGCGATCACAATGGTTAAACCAGTGGAATGTGTGCCTTGGCTGCAAGTTGTAATCGTCACATAATCGTCGTTAGTAGTCGGAAAGGATTTATTTGAACATGATAACTGTCAAAACTTTATAGACAGAAACATATTAACTTCACTGTACATATTATTATTGTTATATGTTGTGATATGTAATGTTCATGTTTCTGTCTTGATAAAGGAGTAGATCGTCCTGAAAAATTAGACAAATTGCTATGTCTGCACTGTCGTTATTACTTATTTGCCATATGTATGTCTTGGGTATGATACCGTGTGATTTGTTTTAAATATATTTGCCCTATACCTGGTATAAAAATAATGTGTCGGAATTCTGGCAAGTAGGCAACATTACATATTTCCATTAGCAACTACCATATCTGATTTAATCAGTACGCGTATAACCGAATTTGTTTTTCTATTTGGGGTTGGCAGGTATACCAGGCTTTGCAAATCATACTTCACTTGGAATGTGATAACAACAGGGAGGTAGCTTTAACAAGATATGGACGATCCTGAAGCATACTGCCGAAGCCACCCAGCAGGACACCCCACCCGGTCAAATTATAACGTGCGAACCAGTCGTCCCACTCCTCAATTGCTGAGCGTTAAGCAGGAGTAAAAACTACCATTTTTACAGACTCTGGTATGTCTCGGCCAGGAGACAGAGCCCAAAGCCTTCCTCACAGCGACAAACGCTCAACTAAAGTCCAAAAATTAGGCATTGTCAAGGCAGACATTAGGAAGGAGAAAGTTGTTTAGAAAGAAGAGAAAAGATAAGATCCCCAATTTAGTCGCCTCTTACGATCATGCACTGGGCAGCAGGTACAATTCTTACGCCCTAATTCCAGTGACTCCTTGTGATACCGCGGATCTGATGCCGACTTTAGGGTGCTATTCACTGAAATACCATACCGAAGGCACCTCGCACAGCATTCCGCTAGGTCACAACGGGTGAACTAGTCTTTACAATTACCCTAATAGCAGTGAATACAAAACTGTAACAACTACCAGTTTTAAGGACTTTGGTATGTCCCGTCCTGGGGACCCATTGCCTTAGGCGAACGCTCAACATTACAGCCATCAGTGTGTTTTTTGCAAGCAAGGCGCTAAGAAATAGAAGGTAGATAGAAGTAGAAACAAGTTAAAAAATCCAAATATTGCAATGTGTACAGCAGCTTTACTTTGGTCGCTTTTATGTCCCTCAATTAGAATTGCACAAACGCAAATCCCTAATTCTGCAGGGGGTTCCCACATCAGTCACTTCTTACGGTGCTTTCTTTTCTTGATCTCCGACCTGCAGGGATGACAAAGCCGGGATATGTCAAAAGACTGTTAACCATTTTGACCGCTGAATAAAAAGACCATACACATTACAAAGGTGATCTAATGTGTTGTGTTGATCCATTTTAATAATAGATTAGAACAGACTCTGTGATAGCTCCTGTGATTGTTAGAGGGAGAGATAGGAATCACTCGGTGATCGGGGAACTCATAGTTAGCTAAAACATTTCGACAGACTGAATAGCATATACACGTATAGTGCGGTACCTTAGTGAGGCAGCAGCAGAAGTGAGCGTCTTGAGATTTCGGCCGTACTAAAAGCTATCAGTAGGCAGCAGTGAGTTACCACCAGTACAGGTACAGTAGTCGAAACCTATTGCTATTCATGGCACCTGGATATTTGAAGATGTGGAGCGCTCGGCTGTATAGGATAGTTTGGCAGTTACAAGACATTCGACCAACTGTGTGGATGGGGAACTAGATAAATACTTATATACATATTTCCGCATTTTTAAACATATAAATTATTCGGTTCGAGTTGAATTATAACGTTGGCATATCCAGTGTGACTAGTACGAACCACAAAGGAAAAGTCATATTGTGCCGCACCACATTCTTTAACACACATATTAGTTTCACGTGATGCTTTGCGCGGTACATCCCTGGCATACTCGTATGCATTTATTGATGGAGAGCTGCAATGGACAATATAATATATGCAATAACGGTACGATGTTTACGGAGCGGCAATTCAGTCTTAACTGGTTTGACCCGTGTCGCATCACCAGGTTTAATATTAACGTTTGGCATGAAAGTGTAAAACTAAGCCAAGTGCAAAACGTAGGATACCATAGCGAAAATACATGCATGCTTAAATATGAACAACACATTATAACATGTTATTTAAGGGCGACTTTCAATATGCAATTGTACTCACCTTTAATCCATTTACATGCCCCTTTGTTTTGAAATAAACAGCTATTTATAGATATGTGCATACGTATTATTTCTTCACAGCAGTCCATGTTTAATGCTTCAACGGATAATTAAAAAACATGGTCACTAGTTCCACCTTGCATGCTCGTGCATTTTGGAAACGTTTCTCGAATAAACAATATTACCACAGAAAGCTGATTAATAAGTTGCTACGACATTTATCAGACGCAAATATAGTGTAACAAAATGGATATATTAGTTTTGTTAACATGTTTAACGAAACCTATTAACTAATCTAATGCTCATATACTAGACCTTAAATAAAGAACTACACGGCATCATTAATTTTCACGAGACATTATGCTGTGTATCCTTGTTTATCAGATGCAGGTAGCGGCCGGTTATTCCCGTATACAATTAACCAAGGATAGTTATATTATGTACTATTTTTAGCTATGTATAAGGGACAGCACCGACCAGGAAGATCGTAATCAGTACAAATAAACATATGGACGTATTTTAACCAGAGAGATGTCTGGTATTAACTTACAAAAACACAGTATATCTGTATATCACAGTAAGCTCAAGTTCTCCCTGTTGTTCCTACTACTGACAAGCCTATCAATAACAGGTACGTACATATTTTGCTGTGTTGTGAACTGGCTAATTAGAATAACCCTGACTGACTGATAACTACCAGTCAAACATGTGTATAACTTGAGTGTATTGACAGTAAACTAACTATAGGGTGTGACCTATTTGGTAACTAACATGTTCATATCTGTACACACAATAGGACAAAATGGCTCAGTTAGTAGTTCGCTAGCATGCGGACTGTATGCTGATACATTCGAATCCCATAGACGGCTGGTGGTTTGGTCTTCAGCAAGACTCTTTAGTCTTTTTGCTTGATTCACATGTCTAGAGTAGAGTATTAGGGCTAATGATGAGATACGTCTTCTATGTTCTCTGTGTATGCTTTTATCATTATCTGACATGACATTGAGAGTTACAGTGTAACCGTTAAAACAAGGACTAAGACATGTAACAGTATATACATATAAGTTATAACGACAGTGTTATCCGATAATGGAACAAATTCCGAACAAACAAATGTAGGTTTGATACGTATTACATGCTTATATATGTAACATCTAGCATACACGCGCATACTCTATGGGGAAAATTATGTTGTTTTTAGTTAGATGTTGTGATTTGGAATAAATATATTATCCGTTATTAAATAATTTTTAACATTGTTTCATTTCCTTTTTTTGGTATACTTATTGACGCATTTAATGCAAGTAAAATTAGTGTTATGATGATAAGTCGTCAAATATTTTCAGCTTCCATAGATTATTTTTCAATAAATGTACATGTATCATGTACAGAGCATTGTGATGCAACGTAACAGTATCCAGCGGCTTGCAAATTCAATAGCATTCCAGTATCTTTTACCATATATTTTATTGACACATTTAACGCAAGTACATTCACTGTTATCATTTTAAGGCGTCACTATTTATAGACGTCCTTATTATGTGTATGTTTATAACGTCATCACTTTTGACATCGTAAGTACTGTAGAGTATTGATTGCGTAGTGACACCTATCACTATATCAGTAAGGAGTTACGGGCCTTGGGCACGTGGAGTTGTTAATAAGGCAGACATTTAAAGGACTGGATTGAATTCGACGTGTTGTGTTTTGAACATGGTTAAATCCGAAACTCAGTTGATGTCCGATCTAACAAGTACCTGTATGTCCAATTTTAAATCGTTGGGCCCCAAGTTGATAAAACTATTATAAGTTATCAGAACACGCAAACGTTCGTTGGATACGTATTACTTATAAAGATAAAAAAGCGTAATAACGACAGTGCAGACGAAGGGATTTTTCATTTTTTTAAGGGCAGTCCGTCCATTTTTCAAGACGGAATTATGAACATTTACACATCACAACATATAACACAAAACAACAGTCACTAGGAAACAAAAAACAGCACAAATTACATAAAAACAAGTCATCATTTTTGAAATGCGCTGATGTTACCGTATGATGTTATCGTATGAATAAGCGAAGTCAAGTGAATCTAGTGAATCGATCAGAGATTATTATACTATGACGTCACCGCGTACTTAATGGGCCTTTATAGGTTATTTCCGGAAGGATGAAAATGAACTGATGTCCGTTGCATGATCTTTTTTTGTCGGTGCTTCAGGGCTTTTTATGTCTGTTTTGCTACACGCTCAAAAAGTAAAAATGACAATCAGGTTATGTTAATATTTCTACCGGGTGATATCTTTAAAAACAGCCAGCATTATAATAATGAGTCTACGTGTACATTTATTTTCAAAGCTAAAATTTCATCAGCTTTTGATCACCTTTTTTTTTTGAATATGAACGAAATAATAATATTGTCAATATCTTGTTATAGTCTTTACAAAATTTATTTATATATTACCACTCAAAAAAGAAACAATTGATAATGCATTTATGTCGCAATCAACAATGTTTTTTTCCAAGATCACCTACACAAATTGTACCACCCTCTTTCATTAGCGAATTACTTCTATTCACCGAGTGCCAATTTCTAAAACGAACAAAGAACCTGCTTACTATCATCTTGTATACCTACCTGTCAAACAAATATTGAAGTGGGGCTGATCAGTTTTTATTCACGCCATGACTTAAGTCTCCTACTAAACCGTTCAAACGCACCACTCTGCAAATCATGTTGGACTGAGAATTGAGTTGTTTGTCCCCCTTTTGTATTTTATTGGTTAATGATTAAATTATTCATGATACTATTTTTTGGGCGAATTTTCTTTTTTTATTCTTTGGGGTCGGTAGGGTGGGGTGGGATAGCGGGTTACGTCTTTGTTGTAGAAATTGTCTGTGACGAGTTGTGTTTATAAACGACATTGTCAGTACAGATTTCTAGTGTGGTTCTCGCGAAGTTTTTTCATTTAATTACTTAAACCCTGATCTTAATTCATATAAACAATACCTATTCTAGCATTTTCATACACAGTATCCAACATGTATCATCTTTGACCTCTATTTACGACATGGTCAAACGGGAGTGACTCCGTGACGAAATTTATTTTGACGTACAGAGACACCCTGTCTCTCACAGTCTTTTGTCACGCTGTGTTTATCCGTTTTTATGCAAAGATTAGCCTTTGGTAACTAGTTAACCGAGCTGATAAACGATAACATACATTAAGTTATGTCATGACTTAACCCAGGTTCCTCTGACTGGCCATGTCATATTCGTAACACATATTTCAGCCGGATTTGCATGGTTATTTAACAGTAAATGACATATCACGTACCAAAATTGTTTTGGAAAGACCTGATGTGTAGATATAAAGTCATACATAGTAAACATGTACGTAATGATCACGCAGATACAATAAAATAAAGCATCCTTACCAAGTATCTGTTACTTGCCAGGTAACGGGTGCATTTTTGTATAACTACTCATTCGTGAAGGAGGTGTGGAATTTCCCGACAAATCGTAACAGGCACAGATAACACAGATGAGGTCAAGTTGTGGTTTTAATATCTGTCGAATCATCGATGAACTCTTATTGTGAATCACTTCCATGCAATTAACTATGTATTTTACATATACTAGTACAGTACCTGACAGTTTTTTGGTCCTTGTAATAATGAGTAACATGCATGATACATTGAAGAATTAGATAAGATACAGAGCAAAATGTACAAATCAGATTAAGATAATGTTACGTTTTGTAATACTTTTCATACGCTTGCCACCAGGGTAACTTTCTATTTAATACTTTTCGCTAGACACTAGTTTTTAGTAATCTTAACTCCACAGTGTTACGTTCTCCTTGGGTTTATTGATCGGCATCAGCCGAGGGCACGAACACTACGCCACAGATTGGAGTCCTCCCCCCCCCCCCCCCCCCCCCCC